GTGGGGCAAGTGGGGCAGACCCATTAATCCCCCCCAACGCCGACACTCTCCACATTGCGACCGCAGGGGGGAAATTAACGCGTCCCGTCCCACTCGCCCCACTCGCCCCACTTGCCCCCACTCGTCCCACTCGCCCCACTCGCGCCACTCGCCCCACTCGCCCCACTCGCTCCACTCGCCCCACTCGCCCCACTCGCTCTACTCGGTTCGGGTCAAGTGGGTCAAGTGGGGCAAGCGGGTCAACTGGGGCAAGTCGAATGGCGCAAGTGGGTCAACTGGGGCAAGTCGGGCAAATGGCGCAAGTGGGTCAACTGGGGCAAGTGGGGCAAGTGGGTCAGGCGGGGCAAGTGGGGCAAGTGGGTCAGGTGGGGCAAGTGGGTCAAGTGGGGCAAGTGGGGCAAGTGGGGCAGACCCATTAATCCCCCCCAACGCTGACACTTTCAAATCTTATTGGAATCAACTGGATTGAGGCTAAAAGTATCTAAAAGTCTTAAAGTGTTCCAGAGGGTATCTGGATGCAGTTTTTTCTGGACCGGTGTGACCTCAAAAGAGAACAAGTGTTAGAGTAGTTCTTGCGACACGGTCAGTTGTGATGAAGTATTGCAGCAGCAGTGCGATGCGTGGGGAGGATCGTGCACAGCAGCACAGATTTTCCATGATGGGTGGGGGAAATTGAGGGATTTCAGAAGCTTATAATTTCAAAACGGAGGCTGATCCAAGCAAAGGTCATTTCTTCACTGATCAGGGCTTATTATTGAAAAGTCAGAGCTCATCACTTTGCACACTTGCGTTTGTTACAGCTTAACTGCATAAATGGGTTGCATGTGGATTACATGGTGCGAGGCCGCAGTGAATGGTTCGCATTTTCAAGTCTGCAACAGTATTGCAGCTAAGGCCTATGTCCAGGTGGCAAACCAGCCCTTCATTCGATCTTCGGTTATGCTTCAAGGAGATCCGCAGGTGGCCCACATCAACTGCTGTTCTGAAGCTTTTGATTCTGATTAGGTGGTAGTTTGGGGTTTCACAAGATTTGTCCAGCCTGCATCTGCACCTGTGCAGACAGGTAAAGTTCGCGCACAGCAGCAACTCACCGAATCTGGCTGTCCTCCGACACCTCTGGAGGAACGAATTCGGCAGGACAAGCGCTCATAGAGCTGGAAAACTGACTCTCAGGACAGAAGGAATAAAGGCGCTGTGGTTGGGAACTGGTGCCTTTATCTCGGAAGCTGTGCTTCAAGAAAATGCATATGCGCCAGCCACGCCATTAAGGTCAGTATTGCCCGTACGGCTCCCAAGTATGTGACAGCAATTGGTGCCAAGGCATCTGCAAACTGCACGCAAGACTCGCAGCAGTCTGTAGCAGCTTGGAGTGCCTGCATGCAGGATGCCATGGAAGAGCTTCTGGCTCCAGATGATCAGACTTTCGCAAGTGCTGTGTGGGACTTACGCCAGTTTGGACTGGGGTCAGCGCTATATTTACAGGAATATGGCGATGTTGCATTCTGAAAGGCTTATACATGTGTTGACTACAGAAGGAGGTCCCATCACCGCATGAACAGGTTCATCTCTGAATTGTGAGATTCAAATGTAGGGTGGCTGTCATGGCGGGCTGGTAGCGGAAATCAAGGACTGCTTTCCTCTTCTCCCGCAAACAGTAATACTGTTATGCCATCAACAGAGGTGGTGAGATCAATCAAAAAGTCCGTCGCCGCCAGTGTGGTGCGGATACCCAGTTACGTCAAGGTTCACGAGTCCAAGCGTGTGAAGAGCAGACATCTTTCATTGGCATGTCAGGCAGGATCCATCCTAACGAATCCGCTCGATGTGGCGCAGAATGAGATGTACCAGACAGGGGATAGTTTCCTGGCCAGTCACATGACGCTTTTCAACCCGTGGTGTTGAGTTTTGCTGCTTGGTAGTTTTGTCGCAGGGTTTATCCATGCCGTACTGAACTCATTTACAGCATCCAGTGCTGTCAACGCATCTTCAAACCTGCTACTTGCATGATGCAATGCGCCATGGAAGTGGACGGCTTGCCGGCATGTAGCAAAGAAGCAAGTTGCTCAAGTTCTGGTGCTGACGTGCACAGCTGTCCTGAACACTGTAAGCAAGGCTTCATCTCCACTGCGTTGGGCTCAGCACAGACTGCCCTAGTTGTTGCAGGCTAAATTGTTTTGGTTTCGTGGCTTTGCTCAAGGATTGAAATCGATTCGCCTAATATCAAGGACCTAATACTAGGTTTCAAACAAGGCCGACTTGCCTCCGTGTGCAGTGACCAGCACACACGCCGTAAGAAGATGTTCTTCCAGAAGGCTACTGGAACATGATGCCAAAACATGCCAAGAGCATCGATCGAACTGTCTGTTTGTTGTGAAAGTATGGGAGTCGGGCTCGAGGTGAAGCGGCTCCAGCAAGTGGAGGGCTGTCAGCTGCATACAGATGTTCATCACGTGTTTGAATGTTGCCTTAGCAACGAAGAGGTTGGTGGCTCGCGAGAGGCTGGCTGTCATCAATGCTGCGCCAAGTTTTCTTGCGCATGTCGCGCTTTGCCTGTGCAGAGGCGTTGACAAGAATATGCTGGCCAGCGCTATGCCAATTGCATGCATCTCAGCCGAGTCTGAAATGTGAAATTACTCTTCTGCGTTCGCGTGGACTTGTGCAAGGCTCTCACCATCTTCCTCACTGATGCCTTCACGCAATGGCTGCTTGGACTGCTAAGCCCCAGGTTGTAAGACTTCCTTGTAGCGCCAGCTTTGGGTATTGGGAATCTAGGTCTGTGGAACAGACAGGCCGTTCATTGTCAGAAGCTTCTGCGCTCTCGCAGGCGACATGCCCGATGAGATGATTAGTTGGGCCAGCTTGCAACAATTAGTTATCCACAGGGCAGGTCTTGTTTCTGTGAATCTGCTGAGTTGATCATCATTTGATTTGTGGACTTGGAGAACACCAGTAGGGCATGTGTATCAGGACACTGCCCAAGCATTTTGAGAAGTGACGGAAACTGGACAGGATGCACTCAAATTATGAATCTCTTGGCAGAAGCATGTTTTCCTCTGGCCTGGTTTTCATGACATCCTGGTTTCCGAAGGAGCCCAGATGCCATAGTTGCAGCAGTTTTTTTCTTCTCGCGAGCATCTTTGATGTTGGCCTTCATGGCTGCATGTTGAAGCAGAGAATGCTCAACCTTAGAATGTCTGGTAATGATTTGCCGCTGTGTGTGCATAGTTGCCCCGGCAACGTCCTGTACATTCCTTTGTCCGGCTATTGCTGTACAAGCAGCGCCGGCACCCCATGTCTCTTTCCCAGACTTGCGTATCATTGGTTTATCTATAAGGAGCCAGGCTATTGTTCTGCTTTGAAGCATGGAAAGATTCATGTCGAAATTCCGGTAGAGGCTGTCTGCGAATTTAGGATACTTGAAGCATGGCAGACACCAGCGGACATGGCGCAACACTGAGGCCGGCTTTGACAGATCATGTGCACCATATCGCATTCGCCAGTTGAGGCAGATGAGCCGATCGCCAGAACGTGCTCTACCGGAATAGATTGATCCAGCTACAGTGCTACCGCACAGGTGCCGCCCGGCTGCTTGGCTGAATGCACTATGGTTCAGTAGCAGAAGGGCCACACTACTTATTGCAGATGAGCGCTGAGAGGTCCTGGGTCCTGTGCAAAGAAGCCACGAGCCCAGTCACTTTGGTGCATTCCAGGGCTGCTTTCCAAAATGCGTCCTGGAGGCACTCAACCCAGATCTCTGCAGATGTTGATTGAACATGCCGGGATGCAGTATATGAATTGGTTGCTGTGATGTCTGGAACTCCTGTACAGTGTAAAGCTCAGGGACAGACAACTTCGTGTCGAGACTTTGCTTTACTGCCAAAAGTCAGCGGCACATTGGTGGGTTGCTAGCTCCATTATTGAGCCAATCGCGCATATGGTCCACAGGGTGACACGCTGCATTTCCGCTGCCTTGGCTTCGAGCCCAAGTGTCTTAGTGCTAGGATTACCCAGGACACGCGTTACGGAAGAGCTTGCGCCCAGAGGGCCATGATTTCACTTGTGAGCATTGACGTTGCCAGAAGCCTCTCACAGCTTCGCTGGAGGATTTCGGATGGACCGAAGTGGTCAGAAGCTTACTTGTCTGGATAAAACTCTTTGTATGAAGCCCGTGCTCAGCTGCAATAACTGTGGCCTCAAAGGCTCCTTGGACACTGTATCTTTGGGGCCCAGACACTTTTGAAATCTTTAGACAAACAAGGAAGTGTCTGGTTTACAATGAAATTGAAGGCACAAGAATGGCAAAATCAACATTTCGCAAATTCACATGGCTTGCGAGCTGCTGGATTGTGCTCGCTGCTTTTTGTGTCTCGCCTCAGGAGGGCTCAGGCTGCACCGCCTCCCAGCAGAAGAGCTTCGCGTGCAGAGCTTGGCCTCAATGGATTCTGCAACCGTGATCACTTTGGCATCCTAATAATTGCCGGACATGATGAAAGCAGGCGGACTGCTGCTTGCGTCAGGTGCATCGCGTTGATAGCTTTCGTCTGCACAGCCGCGGAAGCCAGGCACACTTGTTATGTCGAGCCTCTCTTGGATAAACTGTACAACACACCAACAGGAGGCATCCGAACATTAGCCTGCACAGCACAGCAACAGAAGTCAACGTGCCCTTAGCGTTTGTTCAAATTGCTACTTAGCGACGCCAGAGGTCTCTGGGATTCGGCGGCTTCCTAGTTGGATTTTAGGTTGCAGAGATGTCGTGCAACAGTGCGCAAAGTACGGGAGCTCGATTCAATTCCAAGCTGCCTTGCTGAGAAGAAATTGCCGCACAGCAGAAACCGTGGGAGGGGGCGTGGAATGGGCGCAAAAGGTCGCTGAAGTGGGCAGAGCAGCAGCCCCCACTGGTTTCGAAGAGTTCGACCTTCACTGGACCCTGTGTAACTGATGCACGCACCTATGCCCATGCATGCTCAGCGCGCGTAGCTAATATAATTCATGCAACATGTGAACTCATTACAGCCGTCGAAGTCCTGACAAGAGCAGCTGCACTCGTTGCGCGCTTACTGTTCGTCTTCGAGCCATCTGTATGCTTCCTCAAAGCATAGCATCAGTCAGGGTTGTGCAAGTGGAGCAGGCTGTTTCTGTAGTGCGCTAGACGTTGCCCTGTCGGGGTGCAGGTCCGCTCCGAGTCCAATCACGCCAGTGGTCGTGATTCTCGAGAAATAGTGCGTGCAAGCACCAGCCGAAGCGAGGACTCTGGTACAGTAGCCACGTCACTGCGTCCATAGGCAGAGCACGCGAACGGGAACTGGTCAGGATCATGTTGCTCGCGATGCAGTCAAAGAAGAGGTCTGATGCCTGGAAACCTGATGAGCCCTCCATACCCCTACATACCTCTATGTCCCGGATGTCTCCCCAAAATCATACATTAAGGTAGGCCGGCGTATTTATTTAACGGCAGCCGCCACCTCCACCCACCCCGTGAATCCTCTGGGGCAGATGGGACTGGGTCGCCATTAAACGCACCATCAAGAGCGGCGCAAGCGGAACAGAGCCTGCAGCTCGGCGAGAATTCCGCGTTCCAGCGTTTCCTGCCGTGCATGTACCTGCTCTTAGGGCCACACTGGTCGACGTGCGGGTGAGGCTCGGGGAAGCGGGGGAGGGAGGGCATGGACAGAGGGGGGCCTTGGGGAGGAAGGGAGGAGGGAGAGGGGGGGAAAGCTGACGCCCGGTTTGACATGTGGAAGTTCCGATGGAATCCAGCCCTACTATTCATAATTTGTTGGGCTTTTATGAGTTGATGGACGTGCAGTCCTTGCATGAAATGCTGGCTGCTGAAACTTTCCACTGAACTATGTCTGTTGTTGTTTGTTTGTTTGTTCGCCGCCTATGAGTGGCGAGTTCGCCGTCTCTGAGTGGCGTGTTGCTGTGTTCAGCGTAGCTTTAGTATCTATTTGTGTTGGCTCTACTTTTGTGCATGCGCCCCACTTGCTCTTTGACCTGCCATATTACGGGGAACATCCATTTCCTGGTGTGAAGCCCTCCAAAAAACCCACACTTAGGGGAGACTTTTTGTGTGACGCGTAGTCTGGGGTGCACTAGCTGGCAGGTGCCTTTTCAGTCACGATGCATGCTCTACCTCGCCACTCGAAGTGGCGGACCAGCATAATTGCTTGCAACAACCAAGGGCATGATGATTATGATGATGACGACGATGGTGCATAGGAGAAGAGCAGCCAGGGAGGACGGGCAGGAGCGCATGTAGGGAACCAGTCAGTGAACGTGTGGAGCGAGCGGCGGCGGGAGGGGGCGTATGGGGGTGAGATGAGAGCTAGGGCTGTTAAAAGGGAACTTCCAAAGACACTTATATGACTATGTCCTGTACCTGTATGTATTTACAGAATCTGCATCAGCTGTGGTCATTTGTGGTTCAGAGAACATATCTCTAAAGCAGACCAAAGGTGTGATGCCTTGGCTTTCTGCCTTGGTACAGGAGGTAAGCCCTCGCAGCTGGGAACGCCTGCTGCAGCACCCGCGCCTTGCACAGAGAGCTGCAGTTGGGCCACTGAAAATGCGTGGTGGCTGTCGTGGGAAAGAAATGCGTATCATGCGCCGCGTAGCTCAAACAAACGCAAAGAAAACCCAAGAGCGGCAGGAAGCGAAAGAAATCGCCATGCGAAAAAGGAAGTGGCCCATTACTTGGCGTCTGCTGGGTCTTCGCTATCTGCGCGCACCGCGTGCCCTCCCGGCCAGCTAGTCGTGTGCGTCTCCGCCCCCTTACTCTTACCTACGTGCGTCTTCCCTGAAGCCGTACCTGCATTCAGGGAACCCGAGAAGGTGGAGGTAGCATACCCAAGTTTCCTCAAAAATGAAAGCACGTGTGCTACAGCCATATTACCGGCATGCCACCACCGCAGCCGACCAATCATCACAATTTGAACAAAAGCTGGAGGGCTTTTGGGATGGGGCTTGTGGAAAAAAGAGGGTATGCAGAGCAGAAGCTGGGCAGGGTTAGGGGTACAGGTTTTTGGAGGTTCTCATGGAGACGCATTGAGGAGGTATTTCTTGGGCGCGGTTTACTGGCCGAGTCGCATGCAGTTCAACCGCAGGCGTCTGCCAAGTCGCCACTGCACGCCCTGCTGGCTTTGGTCATCTTGCCTGTTGCGCTTGCCTGCCCCAGCAGGATACGCTCCACCCAGCTTTCGGCGACAGCTGCGCGCTTCAGAGCCATCTGCCAAAACGCCCAAGCCGCCCTAGTTTGCAGCGCAGGCTGCCGTCCTGACTGCCGCAATAAGAAGGGTGCCTTCCGGCTGAAGCCACTTGTGCGCTTCTGTCCCGTGCGCTGCCTTGGCTGGTGTTGCTGGGCCAAACATCGTTGGTTGCTGTGTCCCCGCCACTTGAGACTTTGCAGGCCCCCTTCTTGCGTCTGCCCCCCCACCATAGTACCACCATACCACCACCGCAGCCGACCCTCAGAGCATCTTAGAGCCCCAATTTGGGCAGGGGTTAGGCGAACAAGTTCCAGAGGTCCTGCTGGAAACGAGGGGGTGTTCTTCTGGACATGTTTTCGTGGCCCAATAGCATGGTTCAGCCCCAGGGCCTGGATCTGACCACTCCCATAATCTTACCCCAGAGGGTGGAAGTAGCTAACTTGAGGACTCCCACCATGCCAGCGCCATGCCGCAACCACCTGCAAGATTTTGTGTTGGGGGTAGCACAGGCTTAAGAAGGGGAGGATTGGAAGTAACAGGAACCGATTGTCCGCAACAGTGGAGTGTAAAAGGAACCGGCCCCAATTCCGTAACAGAAACCGGCCGGTTTCCGTAACAGGGCCGCCGGGCCTTGCGTAACGGGAGCCAGCCCTACCCAGACATGTGTTGAGAATGGCGAAAGCTTTTTTTTCGGACTCTGCCAAAGGGGGACCGATTTTCGTTCCCCCTGCTAGACGCATTTTGTCGGGCATTTCCGGCTGCCTACAAACCTTAAACCAAGCCACAGCCCCAAGTATCAATTTATCATTGTGCAGCAAGGGCAGACATGTTAACTTCAGGGTTTAAGGTTTAGGGTTTTCAGATCCAAGTTTTTGGGTTTAGAGTAGGTACTTCTATAAAACGGAGACCAGCATATTGTAGTCCCTACTTGGGCTGGCGGCTCGCGATTCTGCCTGACTTGCAAGGTCAAGCGGACTTAGTAACTGAACTTATAGCCCCTAAAAACCATGTAGCAACCTCTGTTGGCTCTTATGCCTATAATGAAGAAGTTCCTTGATCCAAAACCTAAAACCATAATGCCTGACCCTTAGACCCCGAACCCTGACCATCCCTGACTTTTGGAGTGTGAAGATCTAAAGCTCTGGCTTGGCGTTTAGTGCTTAGGGGTTTTAGGGTTAGGTGCTAGTTACCATCATACCTTGGAGTCGTAGGAGTAGTAGTAGTGGTACTTATAGGCCACAAAAAGCATATAGCAACCTCTGTTATCCCTATAATGAATGAATCCCCTTGGTCCAGCACCCTAAACCCTGAACCCTGACACTTGGAGGGTGGAGATCTGAAGCTTTGGCTTGGAGTTTAACGTTTTTGGGGATTTCAGGTTTAGGTACAAGATTTAAGAAGGAATGTAGAGTAGTACTCGTGCCAGTATGAGCAGAAAAATGACTAGAATGAGGTACAAGCAAATTGCAAAAAGGAGTGTAGAAGTAGCACTAGTGGTAGCTCAAGCAGAAAATAAGTAGAACGAGGTACAAGCAAGTTGCAAAAAGTTGTCCTGGAGAGGTCCCCCACTTTGCAAGATTTGGGCTCCGGGGTTTCGGTTCCGGTTTCGGTTTCAGCTGCTTCCCATTACGACCAAAATGGTTCCCGTTACTCCCCGCACCCTAAGAAGGGGCATGAAATTGAGATGGCAGTTTCTCGTAATAGTTTTTTCTGTGACAAGATAAGTCATTTAGCCTTCAAGGCTTTTCAGGATCTTGCTCCTCTGTGCAGAGTGGGGGAGAGTACCACGAAATAATGACGAACACATTACAAAATAATGAAGAAAACCATCTGAATTCTAGAGCAACCAGAGACTAAGAGAAACTGCCTTGTGGAAAAAGATAAAGATCCCAAGGGCAGGGGAAGAAACACCTCAAGAATAAGGAAAGCACTTCGGCCATTAAAGTACATTATCTGGGAAGCTACGGGGTCATGTACGGACCAGGTTCAATGCTTTCAAATGTAGATTTGGATGCCCAGTATTGTCTTCATCAGTTGGCCTTCACACAACTCTTAAAAACCCAGACAATCTAGCCGCGCTGGACAGTAATTAGATACTGCCACATATCTGCCAGAGTAACCATCTTGAACTAGATTTGGTCCATGTGGAAGATTGTCTTCCCAAACGTTGAAAAAACAGAAATACCCAAACCCTCAAACCCTCAGGTCTCCGTGTCCGCCGTGTCCACGTCGCCTTCCGAGTTGCGCAGCTTGGAGGCTTTGGCAATTTTGAAAAAATCTGCCACTTCACGTCACATACGGAACCAGTCCCATGCTCTTCGCAGGAGTTCGTTCAGCAGGACTTGGATGCATTTTGGAGGCTTGTGGACTAGTCATGAGCATGAAGAGCATGCAATACGCAGTGCAACGCTTGTCGGCACCACGCTAAAACGTGCGGTTGGTAATGTGAGAGAGAGTCAGGCGAGGACGAAGTTTTGCAAGGATCGGGAGAGCTTCCCAAGAAATGCTGTTCTGCTGCGACTTCTTGTTTTTCATCATGTCTAACATTAGCCTTCAACTTGGGCTGATCGTCTTGGTAGCAGACCGAACAAGCCGTTAGGTACAAAGGTAGTCATTGACACGTGCTTGTTTCATGCACTCACATTGAGCACCTATATTGATTTTCGAGATGATGACACCGCTAGTTGCAGGTGGTGTGCAACGCCAATTGATGGTTTGCATCGGCCTGTTCCTAAGTGATTCCTCATCCAAACCTTGTTGTATCCTTGAGCGATGAGAAGGTGTGGTCTGCTAGTAAAGCTCCTCGACTACAGTGGCATCCTGGAGAAGGCGAGCGAAAAGGCCTGAAGTTGCAAGCAGGGATGAGGTTTACAGTCCTGAGCAGGACAGTTTTTAGTCTGTCAGTTTGGCAGAGAGAGATGGTAGTTTCCAAAAATCAAGGCACCCTATTATAGAGCCCCAAATATGACAAGCCTTATTATTGGGACACCCGAAAAGGGATCTTTAATGCTAGGAAATCCCCAGATGGAGCAGCCTTGGAATCTGCTGAAAGGTTCGCAAGTTGAACAGCGAGCTGCACGCCTTGGGCGTCTGTGCGACAGACCAAGTCGAACCTCACCAGCGCGTTCCGTACGAGGCCAATTTCTTTGCTTGCTGCTGTCTGCAAGTTGCGGCGCATGTCCGCTGCAGAGGGTCAGGACCCCGCCTTTTGTTTAAGGGATGCAGGCCAAGGGAGACTGCATATGTTGGCTGCAACTTGCAAAAAGCTGATGCCTGTCGTGCCCCGAAGTCAGCTCGTTTATCATGTTCGTCTGCGCATGGACGTTGATTTTTGACAGGCATTCGTGCAGAGTCGCCGGCTACGAGAGGCGGTCCAAAGCTGTCAGCGCCCGAGTTTGGTTTGACTCAGGAGTGCTAAGTGATTGCCGTGCAGGAAGGGGAGGTACAACAACAACAACAACAACAACAACTACTACTACTACTACTATTACTACTACTGCTACTACTACTACTACTACTATTACTACTACTGCTACTACTACTACTACTACTAAACTACCAGTAGTAGTGGTAGTGGCGGTAGTAGTAGTAGTAGTAGTAGAAGAAGAAGAAGGGTTGCTCCTGCTCCAGGTACGGGCAACAAGTTCTCGCGGGAGAAGAGAAGTGGCAGGCCTTTGCTTAGAAGTGCAGATCTGACTTACAGCGTATCGCCAGTTGAGGCCCAGCGCTGGGCAAACACCCCTGGCAGTGTGGGTGCTGAATGTCATCTCGCTTGAGAGCAAGGCCCGCTGTGGTACGTGATCCGGTGCTGCAACCCCCGCTCCCCTCTCATGATTCAGCAATAGATAAAGTCCACAAGTGCCAGCATCATTCAACCATGGCCCCGCAGTATGAAGCACTGTACCGCGCCTTTTTTTTCAGTGCTGCTGTCAAAAGCACTGATCTTGACCTGATGTCGGAAGCTTGCCTTTTTTCCTAAGGTCATTCAGACCTTTCTCCCTCTTTCCCTGTGATGTGGGTGTATTTTCGACATTCTTCAAAGCAGGCATTCGATGTTGTTTTCCCTCTTCTTGTGCAGAGTGGGGATTCTGTGACAGGCATCATCCTAATGACGATTCATGCTTGTAAAATTTCCGGCATCACAAGCGACAACAGTTACAAACTAGCAGTGCAAAATGGATACGTGCGCCCCTATGATGCTTTTCACATTCCAGGTCTGAGATCTCACGAAGAAATGACATCCTGTAACACCACCATGCTGTGATTGTTGGCAGAACCTTCAGAGGTTTGGGCTTAGGATTGTGTTGGGAGAAGGCGGCCCAGGGACCAGGGATCACAACTTTGAACTGCGCAGGGACCTTGCTCTGTGTCTGTTGCAGGGCTTCCTCGGTGGCCGTCCAGAAAGACACGTTGACTCGCAGTTTGCAATATGACGCTGAGAAAATGTCACTGCTACGCACATGTGATCGCTCTGTCGCAACTGCATGCAGCAAGACGGAGGGCGCAAAATGAGATTTATCGGAAATGTAGAGGAGCCATAGCTCAATGTACCTGTTGCCAGTAGACCATCTTGCTCCAGGCAGTGTTCCTGTATGTATAATTTCTTCCATGGGGAGGATGTTGACCCACTGACAGCCAGAAGTTGAGTTGTTTGGGTTCTCACACCCCTGGTTTTTGCTTCACCCCGCCGCATCGCCGCATCCATGATGTGCCAAAGGCGCGCTGGGTATGCTTGTGTTCCCAAGGTTGTACAGGAGTGGGGATCATGCAGCAGTGCTTTCGCTATCTCTCCTGAGATTGTTTAAGAACCCGGCCAGAGTACAGTGTCATTTGAAGACTCTGGACCTGGTGACCTAATCTTTTTTTTGTGGCCTCACCTTCCCATGATGTCCTGACAGACTCGAAAGCAGATCTTTTTTCACAGGTGAGTCCGCCTTGCATGCATGCCTTCCAGCGCGAAGGGTTTCCGTTTGTTACGAACGCTGATTTTGGGCTGAATGCAGCCAAGCTTGTCCTCAAATGGATGGCTAGGTGCCCAGGGCCCTACGTGTACAAAGTGTTCTACTCTCGTGCATTGTGCACACAGAGGAAAGACATAGCTTTGTTCTGCTGGCCTCACATGTCTAAGTTTACGGGGCAAACCCATCAATATTGAGTTGGCTAAGGACCTGCTTGAGTATCAAGGCTTTCGTGAGCTGAGTGGGTCCAAGGGATGCAAGGCATCTTTGCTCTTCTGGCTGTATGGTGGCTCAAGGCAGCCTTTGTGTAAGCCTTGTGCCCGAAGGATTGAATGGAAGGCCAGGATGGGATCACGTGAGGGGTTTAGCGCAAAGGCAAGAAGTTGAGTTGGATTTGAGACTGCAGACTCTGTCGTACAAGCCTCCGTTCACAGGTGGGGAAGGAGAGAATGGTGGTCATCATCCGAGCTTTCTGAACATTTGAGAGATATTTGGAAGTTAGCATGCACGTGGGCATGTACCCTGTATAAGATTGCATTTTGCCCCGCAGTGCCCAAAACCCTGAGTGGCACTGAGGCTGGGATCGATTATGGTCGGCGCAATCCGAGAGACTTGGCAGTTTTGGTACATGGTAGCTTCCTTAAATAAGAGGATCCTAATATTCTAGACCAAGATATTGTAATCCTCATTATAGGGACCCTCAAAAAGGTTTTGGGAAAGCCCGAACGCGTAACGCAATATATGCCTATGTATCCCCTATATATCTATATATATCGCCCAATAACCCCTTCAAGCATACCCCGAATTTCGGGAAGCCCCAACATGCTGCGACTTCTGGCAACTCTTTACCCTAAGCCCTAACACCATAAAACACTAAACCGCAAACCGCGGCAAGCTTGGGCCTGGTAGGCGCGTGGCAGAGATGCAAAGAATGCTGAAGTCAGCCTGCCGAGATGCCCGTGCCTGAAACATTTGGATTTCCAACGAGATCCCTGCTAAAAGCAGAGCTAGCTTTTGTGGTGCGGGCGTCTAAAGAAAACATGCTGAGGCCGCCTCACTGACGGAGCAGGCGGAGGCTCTGAATGCCACAGCCTGCTCCGAGGATCCTGGCAACGGTCCTCTCAATGCTTCAGCACAGCTACCAGCATCAGCGCAGGCAGCTGTCAGTCCGGCCTGTGCACAGGCCCAGGTCATTCGGCCCGGTCAAGCATCGATCGCACCCAAACAAGCAGCCCAAGCATGGCCTCAGCAGCCTCTTCCTGCAGATGAGGGCGCTGGCAGGCCGATTGCAGGTGCATTGGGGTCTGCAGATCCATCCGCTGCCCTGCTCAGTTATCCTCCGGAGACAAGCCAGCTGAGTGGGCAAGGTGCCATCCTCTGTCTTTGGTTTATGATGCTTTCACTTCAGTCATGTCGAAAGGATCGGCTGCCGATGCCAACAAGGAGGCCCTGTTGTGCCATGCGTTGAACAGTCCAACTCGTTTGTGTTCCGTGACCGCCAACGCACTGAGGCGTTCGGCATGTTGTAACCTGAACGGAATTGGAGCTTGCATTGGCACTGCAATAAACACATTGTCTTTGACACGGGTGTTTTTCTCATCCGTTGCCATCTCGACTGCAACTTTGAGAATGTGAAGCAGCAGTTTCCTTGCTGGCCTTCGCGTTACTGATGACGTTTGGTGCCTGCAGTTTCGAGGTTTCGATTATCCCCTTGTTGACGCACCGTGCACAAACGTTGTGTGTGCGCCGTTGAGGGCTCAACGTGATGTAGTTGTCTAGTATCACGTTCGTGAAGGGTCCGTTCGCTTGCCCTGCCATCGGAAAGATGATGCTGCGAAACTAAGCTGTGTACCACATCCTGAGCGGATAGCGACTAGAAAGCAGCAACGACTGTCAAGGTCTTGAAGGGTCCTATCTACCGACAATTGACCATGCTAGGCCCGAAAATCCAAAACCCAAAACCTCAAACATTATGTATTATAGTAGCTCCATGCTCTCCATAAACCAGTGTTTTTTGTATTGTATTATAGTTGGGCATATTGGGGTCATAAATTGTAGTGATTGGGGTAAAGGGCATTTGTGATTCCTCCAGCTGAAGGATGAATTCCGAAGTTTCCATTTCATTTTCCTTCTTCTTGTCAGTTACTAGTATTCGGGGTAACTATCGTAATGATAATCATCGTAATAATATAGAGGTTTAGCATAGTGTGAATCCCATATGATATAATAGAATGTAGTGTGATAAGCAAAATTACACAAACAATATCCCTATCAAAGTAACATTCCAGCTATGTCCAAATTAGTACCCCTACTACGACAACATATAACGTTATCTAATCCTATATAGCCCCAGAGAAACCCTACATGACCCAGTAAAACCCAATGCAATCCTATTATCCAATATACATTCTATAGAACCCTGAAATAGATTTTCCAGCTGAAGCATCGGCATGCCCTCAAGAATGCAGGTTGTGCAGCTTTCAGCGGTGCATCACGAAGAAATCACCAACGTCTCAAACGAGGCATTGTCCAGCAGAGTTAAGTCTGATTCGTGCCTGTTGTTGGTGTGATTTTGGGCATGGCGTTTTGACTCGGATGACTCGGTCCTGCGCCGCATGCATTTCGCTTCAGGTTCTGCGCCTGCGCTTGCTGAAAAGCCAGCATGAGGAGCAGGGAGGTTCTTGATGTGTCCGCTTTGTCCGGTAAAGGGTGGAGTGGACAACACGTGCGCTGGCTCGAAGCATGTAGATAGGATCTGACAAGACATGAACTACATACAGCCCACCATTTCTGGACGCGTCCTCTAGTATCACCTTTGCTATTAGAAGCATATAAAGCAACCTTATCTTGTTATTACTTACGAACGCAACACATTTTTTGCACTCAGTCTTGTGGTGGCCTGGTGAAATCGCTTAAAGTTCGCACAAATGAATTAAGCTTTGCAATGTCGGCGAAAGCAAAGTCTAAAGCAAAGGCGCAAGCCTTGAAGCATTCCTTGAAGTCTTTGAGATGTTTGTGCTTCCTGTCGTACCAACGCAGGGAAAGGTCAAGCCTGAGGAAGACAAGGGCGTGGCCAAAAATGAGAGAGCCACGCACTCTGCTGTGCAACAATGCCTGGCCTTGCTTCCTGCTTTTCATTATGGCTTACTGAGGCTTTGAAAGGTGGCTATCGGACAGTGCAGGTGCCCTGTGTGAAGATTCACATGCCCGGCAAGTTTGGTCTGTCTGAGTCTGTCTCCGGGAGTTGCCGCCTCACAGAGCATGGATAGGTGTGATTGATTGACAGTTGAAATGAGAACATGGGCTGGATCCCAGGCGTCTTAAAAGCACAAAGCTGACACGGAGCTTCTTGCTGCATGCCACAGCTCTTCTACAACAGACCCCTCTGGCTACCTTTGCGGGTGTTGGCCAGTCTGTACGATTGTTGTGCCAGATGTGCTCATTGACATGTGTGCTCTGATGACCATTGTCATTCCGGTCATAGCCTGCAAATTTGAAATGGTTCATATCGGGAACAATGTGATCATCAACGCGCTGCCGCTTTACTTGCTTGGGGAACTGAGTCTTCGGCAGCAGTGAACCATGAGCCTATTCCTAGCTGGAGATGTAAACAGCTCCGGGGCCAATTTCTGTTAGCCGGTACTTGTACCAGTTCATTCCGATGGTCGAGGTACCAAGAGTTCATAGGTTTAGCACTGATGGGCTTCTGGGTGCACTGGGTGGGCATGAATTGTTACTTCAGCCTTTTCAAAGATGCTCTTGCATAAGTGGAGGTCGACACTCTCGGCGCCTCACGTCCGGGAAAGGATTTTGACCTCAGATTCTTTCTTTGAGCCACCTGGCAAGATGCCACTTTGTAGACCTGGAGGAAGCCCAGCCTAACAAGGAAGGCCAAGAAGGCTCGTGTCTCGCCTTTCGTTATTTCTTAGGCTGGTACTCGTAGATCTCTTCTTGCGCTCTGGTCATGCGCATGTCTGCCAGGCCGCCCGAATCAGGACTCCTTGGCCGCCAAATCTGATCTTGTTGATGAATGGGACACGTTTTGAGATGGCACATGCTTCAATGCAGAATTCTGCAGGATGCGCAGCCTGAGGCAAATGGTTGACATGTACCTCTATCTGTATGCATAAATGTATATATTCAGGTAAATATACATATGTATTTCTGTATATATATATATATACACACCCACCTGCAAATGTGAAATTGCAACTAATGAATACACGTATATAATCATAGGTATGTCATATGCGACTATACATATATGTATATACACCAGTTCCATCACACATGCACATATACTCAGGGTATTGAATGTTCTCTCCATTGCAGTCGCCGACGTGCGTTAAGTGATTCAACTATGTAATTCGTTGCGGTGGCAGCTGCTTCAAATGCACTTTTCGTAATGCTGTTAATACAATGATTAAAATCAATATTATCACAATTTTTACTGTTAATTATGGCTGTTCTTATTCCAAGTAGTACAAGTATGATTGTTATTCTTTGATTATTACTGTTATTCTTATATAAGTGTGAGCAGGTCGACCTTCCCGTGACAGACAAATTACCCTTTAACATGTTTGTTCTTGCAACAACGCCAGGGCCTAAATCACCTGAGCCATAATCTAAACTCCTTAGAGTGGGTTACATAAGTCATACTATAGGGGACTGTTATACGGCTTATGAAGGGGGATACTTGGAGTTTAGATTATGGCTCACCTGATTCTGCGGCAAGCTTGATCCGAAAAGATTGCCGAGAGAGTATGCAAGGTTTCTGAACATTCTCGTGATTGGGTTGGAGCAGGACATCAGGGTTGTGGAAGTACACGCCCAGGTGAATGGGAACATCTACAATCTTAAAGCACGACCCTCTCTTCTTCATATAGTTTCTCAGCTTCAGGACCTCAATGAGGACGGCTCCGGCATCATTTGGCGCTGCGCTTGGATAGTTGATCTTATGACGTCTCCTGTTTCCGTTCACAAGCAGGTTCATCTTGGAATGTCTGTTTGTGATCCTCTTCATCATCGAGCTCGGCATTAGATGGGGCTCCCTCAAGAGGAGCCAGTTCCAGAGTTTGACAGTAACCCACGCTGCTGCTGCTGTCGAGATGCAGCTGGCCACGCCTCAAAGAAGGGGTTTCTGCAATGCTCTGTACCCCCGAAACTGCCAGAAATCTTGTCGTCGGGCCTCGCAAGAAGGGACCAGCAGTTTTGGGATTTCATGCGGCAACACCAGCAACTAACACCAAACGTCACAACCGTTCAAACCCTAGAACCTTACACCCTAAATTGCCACCGCCTACGGCCACAAATTGTTGACACCCTTGGACCCCCCATGTCTACACGCCCAAGCCCCAGACTCTAGCCTCCAACAACCTCATATGGTCTAACACTCCGCGGGACATCTAAAACCTGACGCTCCCGTCCTACAGCCGCGGAATCTGAAAGCCCTTCAATCCCAGAATCACTGACTCTCACCAGCTTCCAGCATGTTCAGTTCAGATTTCATCGCGTGCATGCGCAACATGTGTTGAGAATGGCAGGAGATCGACTTTCTTCCAGGATGGTTGGAACATTTGTGACATCCTTGCCGCGCTCTCTGCTTGCAAGTTTGCTTGAGTTCTTCAAGAGAAGCAACAGCGCGCATTGCAAACCGACCTGCAGCTTGTGCTGGCTGCCGCCGTGGACTGCTTCGTACTGAGCTTGATCGGAATTGGTGGCCAGGCTGGGCAGAGGCTTCCCAAGTCTCAGTTACCATGAGTCTTTGATTGTAACCTCCTAGCTGGAATTCAGATTCGCTTCTTCACCGTGCTTCGTGCGCCTGAAGCCTACTTTCGTTCCACATGCAAGGGTGAAAGAAGATGTACCTAATTGAGTATGCGAGCTGTTGGTATGTAACGGACAGGACTGAAATTGGCCCAGAATTGCAGTATTTCTGTCTTTCACTATGGTTTCTGGCAGCGTGCCATGCGCGACAATTGCAACACGACAATTGCAACATGCCGCAGGCGCTAGAGCTAGAGCGTGCTTCACAGACCTGAGTGACCAACAAATCCTGCCAAGCTCTACCAGGCAGTAACTCCTGAGCGGTCCAAGAGACAAATTGAGAAGCGCACATTCCTTCCAAAAGATTTTCGCTGAATCAAAACCAACTTTTTGGCAGGAAGAACTTCACAAAGGCTGTGTTAAAAAATCTTCGACGTGGGCAGTTGCCAGGGATATATGGTGCTTCTTCAGCAAGTTTCATGCCTTCTGGGACGCAGTGGGTTGGATCTGCCGCCCAAGGTTGCGCGTCATCCGCTTTGTTCGACTCGCCCACACCTGAGCCTGCCTTGAGGCAGACCTCCTCATATCAGCTGATGACAACTTGATTGAAAACTACCGTTTGGCTTCAGTTTACAGCAGACCTAGTCTGTAAAGCAGTGGGTTTGCATCCAGATTGTGCTGAGTGCTACATTTTGAGGTTCGGATGTTCTCTGCCTTCCGAGAACTGTGGCTGCTTGTGGGTGGTGTTCGGCTTAGAAACTAACAATTCAAGGGAGCTGCATGTTTCAGCATGCGCAGTCGCATATGCCGTTGAGGCCTCACCAACTCTGTGAAGGCACTCTCGTATGAACCCCAGACGACAGCATTGGACTTCTGCAATGCTTCTTGTGTTCTTTGCTGATGCAAGGTGGGTGGGTCTTGTGGTCTTCATGTTGATTTATGTCGCCGGCTCATTTGTACAATTGGAAGCTTCGGAAAGGTGCTATATCAATCTGGTAGGAGCAATTGATCATACAGCACTTTGTGTCCAGGTGTGTGGCATCATTTGTACTGCGGAGATTGGCCAAAATGTCTTTGCCTTGGCTTCCTTGCCGACACGCCACATGTTTCTGGACATGAGTTGGGCGCTATAGGATGAAACTTATGCGATCGGTCCTTCCTACAACGGCGAGGCTTTTGAGTGTTTTGGGATGTGTCCGGTCATCCAGTACGCTGTATGCTTTCTGGACAGGTGTGGCCTTACAAGCAATACTTCGGAACCGTGTTCAAGTGCGCATCCAAGACATCATGAATTGCGGTGGGATTTAGTTTTGCCCGTCAAGTGTGATCTGTGTTTCTGCACCTTCCCAAGCACTGCTTGAGGTCTATGTTCACTCTTCTACAGGCGGCGTTGTCCATCAGTCCTAGCACCTTCGATCCGCTTGGACAGTCTTGCTTTGTTCTTGGAGGTTCTTACTCTGGATGGCTGGTGCGATGACATAGTGCGTCATGTTGTTTACAGACAGCCCATCATGGGCGCCACTTGGATGCAGATAGTCTTCAGAGCTGTATGGACGAGCTACATAAGGGCTGTCATTGCGGTGTTTAGCTTCTGTGGCCTGAAGCCTTTTTCACATTCTCTCACCACGGGTGGATCGTCTCATGCAATCTAGCAAGGTCAAATACGAAGTTGGCAGTACTGCCTATAGTTCTTTCTGAGCGTAGCATGTGTGCACGTGACCGGAAATGTCTTCTCAAGACAGCAGCACGATCAACTTGTGTTCTCGCACTTCGGCATATGTAGCTTACGTACCAGCAGCTGCACTCCTGAAAGAAGGAAAATCAGAGAATCCACTAGTGTCCGCACAGCGAGTCTCTCACATTTTGCCAGTCTGTCCGATCAAGCACGACATCATGATTTTAACAATCTGGTAGGACTGCCACCTCAGTTAAGATCAGAAGTTCCGAACGCTGCCTGATTTTGCCACGTTGACTTCCATCCTGCTATGTTGCAAGTGGACTAAAAGTGGACGGTCCCAGCAACTCTCCTTGTAGCTGCGCTGAAGGTTTTCTTCATCTGCTTCATTCTGGTGACGTCCTTCGGTCTGATGCAGATGACTCGGTTTTCAGAACTTAGGAAGCTCACGCAGAATCATGCAGAATCACGCAGAATCTCGAAAGAGCAGACCATGCAGAGTTCAGTATGCAGAAGAGTTTGATGTCAATTCATGAAGGTGTCGGACTCGTTGGACCACCGAGGAATGTGGTTGTCGGCATCATTGTCGAAAATACGCTTGCTGCCGCGCAGGTAGGTGCACTCCACTTCCAATTAGCATTGCAGATAGGCTGTGTCCGGACACGCTTCAAAGTAATCTATGCAGGTTGTGGACAAGCGCAAGGAAGAGAAGCTTGCAAGACATCGGAAGGACATGCTGCTTCAGTGATCTCTCCCTCCCGAAACCGCAGTTGATCCAGGTACAAGACTCTGGCCCTACCCAATTGACTCCGTAGGTGTGTGATGGCAATCTTTGCGGCTAGGTTCTTAAGGTGATGGGCCCAAAGCCAGCAGATGTGATACGCAGGACACAGTCCAGCAGCTGGTTGCCATCCTGTCAAGGCATGCAATCTGAAGAGACAACGAAGACGAAGGGCACCTTCTTGACTCTCCGCAGGGCGTTTGCACACACAGAATTCGTGAGCATGATTGGGGCAGGTCAGACTCCAAGAGAAGTGGGCTGATCTCGCTTGAGGCCGGCTAGTCGGAGCAGGATGCAGGAACATACACGTATTCACCAGTTTTCAAAATCTTGCTGGCAGAAAGTCTCTATGAATGTTGAAAACCAGAGACGAAAGGAGTTATGGCCAAAGAGGCTAGCGGGACATGGCACTCCTCAATTAGTTGTGAATCACATGCTGCCAGATGTGTTCCCCTTGTACTTCGCAGTTCAACACCTTGATATGAGCTGCAGAATGTATAGCAATTGTAATGACACCCTGTGATTTGTCACAGACTTGTCCCCTTGATGTGTGGCAGGATTTACGCGCGGCGAATCAGAGTGTAGCTTCGCTGGAGAAGGGCATTTGTGCTTTCCCTGCCTCTTGTACTGTAAAACAAAAAGTGCTGCCTCTGCATCCAGGTAATCGTGCAGAAAAAGTTCGAGTCCATCGGGCTTGACTTTGAGGAGGTACAAGTAGAATTGTTGACGCCGAGGCCGTAGGCACACTGCATGTTCTGAGGTGGAGCACGTTTTCACGTTGCTGGACGTGGATCGTTCTGGTAAGATCGAGCTAGTGCGCTTCGTGCAGTTCTTATCGTCAGAGATCGTGATTCCTGCTCGACCACAATTTTCATCGGATTCCCTTCTAAGGAAAATGCTTGTCGAGAGCGCCGATCTTAGTTAGATGCTGTATGACGGACATGCTGGCTTGAGCATGCAGTGGGCATGGGAGAGAGATCCCACTTGTTGCAATGGGATCTGAAATGCCACCTGCGAGGAAAGCAGACACAACTGCTTTCTAGTCACTAAACAATATCGATAACAGATATGATTTGCAAGGTTGAGGCTCTGAAGCATAGGACGGCAGGCTCCAGCTCAACATCAAGAACTCTGCTTCGGAAATGAAATTGCCGATTCCAACATTGACGACGATGTTAAGCGGACGGAGCCTGGAAAGCGTCACTCTCCGAGCAGGCAGAGCTTGCAAATCACAGGACCTTAGGTAAGAAGCAGACTGAAGCGGATACTGGTGGGGCTTTCCGTCTCGGGTTGATTCACCCTTGCCTACCAACAAAGGGGGAAACTGTGCAAAAGGGCAACATCAACAGAGGTGGACCATATAAATTCAAGTTTCCCATCTGCCCATACAATCCACTTACCATGGGCACCTGAAGAAATATGCTCGTCCTGCACCCTGTGCAGATTGAGGCACGCGCTGGAGCCCCACACCTCGTAACGCTGTTCTGCCGTTTGGATTGCCTCTCTGGACCTCGCAGTATGAATTGCGCGCTGGGCTTGGCACTTGTCTCAACGCCAACAAGCTCTGCGGGGCCACCCCAGAAAGCGGCCTGTTCCCCTTTGTAGACTATCACAGGTGGAGGTGGGTTGAGGGTGGGTCGATGTTCAAAGGAACCAGAGCCCATTTGATCACACACGAAACGCTGCTTAAGAAGGCTGAGGGAAATCGGGGCTGGAATTAGGAAATTCATGTTTTTTCCGGCAGGGATCTGTTCATACATCCACTCATGGAGTGGTTGAGTCTGAGTTGCTGAAGCTCACTCCGCTGCAGCCAACCCACCTCCTCTTTCTGTACTGAAGTGATCTGAAGAGCCCCCTTCCGTCAGCTTTCTTTGGCCTCTTCTTGCCCCTAAGTTGTGAGCAGACCGAGGTTGGTGGGAGGAGGCAAGCGCAGAGACATTGCTCAAGTGGAGGCCTGGTCTCAGTTAGTTTCAGAGGCTCATGGCAAACTATCCATAAGTTTCTTGCGTGTCGCAGCAGGTGAACATGGGCACATTAGCAAATCGCCTGGACAAACTTGACAACAAGTTTACAGTCATTGAGCGCGAGGTGGGGAAAGGGATGCCGATTTTCGTACAAGACCACGAGTGCATCTTGATTTGATGGAGGTGGCCACAATTGCAGCGATGACCGAGGACTTTGTTCACAACACAGCCTCGTCCTTTGCACTTCAGTGCACTTTCGGAAGCCAGCCACGCAAAGACATGCAAAGTCCCGAAGTCCTGCAACTTCTTGTACAAGCCTTTGCAAGGATTCGAGGGCTTTTTGTGCCATGAGGTTCGACATCTCACAGGGCACGACCCGACTCTTGCAAAGCGGCAGCTTCCTCGGACTAAGCGCTTTTGCAATGCAGCAAGCGCGGTCATGCGTGACTGAGGAGTGATTCGAAAAATACGTCAACCACGTCCAGCGGGGACTTGTGACGGCCAGTTCGTGCTGCTTCATTCAGATGCTACAGTCGACTGACTCTTTGGCGCATTGGTTTTCAAGACACTGAGATACCTGGAACGGTTTCAAAGCAGCTAAATTGATCAGGCGAACCCTTGCAGGTTTCACCCACATCTGTGGCCCGACCAAGTCATCAGCCGCAAGCCTTTGGACCGGAACGCGCCACCGGTGCAACGGCATAAAAGTCATGGCCAGGCAGCCGTCTAGGTGCTTGCATGATTGAGGTCGTGGGTCCATGTCAGGAAAGTACTTGTTTTGGTGCAGGGCTTGGCTTGGCAGATGGGCTTCTGCTTCTTATACGCTGCAGGTTGTCGTTCAGGGCTAGCTGCCATGTTGAAAAGTTCGGCTATCTCCGGCAGCAGGAGCTCAAAAGCCAGCTGTCTCGAGCGGAATCTCAGCTGCGACGGCTTTCGCCACATGCGGTGTGCCCTCCCTCAGACAACGTGCCACGGATCCTGTACAATGACACAGGCATGAAATATCAGGGTTGGCATTACTCGCGTGCAATTGACAGGTTTCAGCTGCGGTCTTACTTGGAGAAAAATCTTCGTGAGCCGAGTTGCTTGGCAGGAGCACTCAAGATTGGGATGCGTATTGATTTTGCAGTATGGAGGACAAAGGCGGTTAAAGCCACCATCATTCATGATCAACGCTGATCTGCATGAAGATTGATATCTCCATCCCGTCATTATCTTGAGAGAATAGAAATAATGTCTCGTGGCTATAGGTGTTCGGATTCCGACTTGACAGCTAAGGTCTGGCCATGCAGGTTCAGGACAGCTCTGCCTTAGATGCTTGCGCTGCTTATTCACCCAGCAGGCTTTTCAAAACAAAATGGAAAAGCTGGGTGTGGGAAGCTGCATGCAAGGAAGGCAGCGACATGTTCCGCCTGGCAAGCCAACCCTGTTTGTTTGCCATGTTCCAGACTTGAGGCCAAACGCCTAAATCCTGAACCCTGGACCCTGGACTGTGCCAAGTCTGCGTGCGCTCTCCTTGCCACATCAAGCAGGAGTCCATAGTACGGCTGATACAATGCCTGCTGGCAGTGTTCAAGGTGGAGGCCTCCACCTCAGCTGTTCAGGAGCTTCAAGCTTTCGTCATGGACCCAGCAGATCTTGAGGTCCCGTCCCTCACAGCTGAAGCCCTGCTCAGTGGGGCTCGGAAGCTCTTTCGAGATCCTCACAGGTGCCGTCTGCTGTGTGAAGCACTTGGTTTACGGAATGTTGCTAACGCTTTGGAGTGCTCGTGAGGGCTCAGTTGCAGTAGCGTTAACCCTTGGCGGGAACGACAAATTACAAGCATGATGGTGCAGCAGAGAGTGCCTGCATGGCAGTTTCACCTCGAAGCTGTGCGGCATGGTGGCTTTCTCCTCCGATGAGGCAGAGCTCAAAAAGCATGCAATTTCTTTGTTCCTTTGCATGTCATGTGCCTCACCATGATGGTGAGGCAAAGAAGCTGGCACCTTTCTTGACGACTTTCCCTCGGCACATGATATTTGCTCCAGGGAAACTCTGGAGAGTTGGCTGTTTGGGCGAACTCTCTCTTACAAAAAGAAGCAACAATAGTGCTTCCAAGGTCTTGCTCGCAGTTTCGACGCGTGCGAGAGAAAGAGGTGCGGATAAATGCCGCAGATTCTTGGGCTTCGGGCACGCTGACTTCGTTCATCATCTTTCAAGGAAGAGCTTTGACTGGAGGTGAACGAATGCTATGAAGCTTTGCATGGCTGGCTTTCGGCATTCTACACATACTCCAGCGTGTCTGATCAGGCCAACGGTTTTGCCATGGGCAGATTATGCAGACGTTTAGCAGATGCTCTCCAGGTTGTTATCACCTTGCAGCAGCTGGAGAAGCAAGAGTGGCAAAGCTCTCGGTTGACTTGAAAGTCGGTTAGCCTGCTTCGCTGGCGAAGCCTTTCTGCTGTGGATTTTCTCATGCAGTTGGGCAAGATTCAAATTGTCAGGCTCTTGCGTCGGTTGAACAATCAGGCATGAGCGGCCTTTCAAGACCAAGACAACCTCTTGCTTGCGTGCTTGGAAGGCTTCGGACGTGCTCCTCGTGCGCCACCCTGGAGTTCGGGGTGTTTGGGTTGTCCGCTGTATTCGTCTAGCAAAAAGATGGGTTTGATGCAGCATCTGTTGCACCAAGGTCCCATCTGTTCCAGCTAGTTCATGCAGTACCACTACTGGAGGTTCTGCAAGCTTTGCTCATGAGATGCTGAAAACAGTTCGCATCTTGAAGGGGCGCCTGCTCCGCAAGTGGCATCGACTGCTGCTCCAGCAGCCAACTGCCAGCATGATCCGAAATTGTTATCGCAGATGGCTGTCCTGCTGCTTCGAGGTGTCTTCACGCATGTCACAGCCAGTTACAAGCCACGTGCCCAAAGCTATACTTCGGGGCTGTTGGGTCCAGAACTTCTTTTGAAAGTCATGGCTTGCGGCCTGAGGCAACAAGCCAAGCGTGGCCTCTGCTCGGGTGACTGCGCCGTGCCCCTGAGTGATACGCCTTTCAAGGTTGTCGGCGTTCCTTGGCGAATGTTTTTACCCCAGGTCCCCGCTCAGCAGATCGCGACGCGGGCTGCAGGCTCGGCTGGAATTGTTGCTTTTGTCGGGATGCTGAAAGTTCTGCTTTACCTGACAGGGCCTTCCTTCTGGACCTACTCCCTTGAGGCAAGCCGTCCCGGATAGCCTGGACTTCTGGGGCTGCGTGTAAGTCAGTTGTGAGCCAACAAGGCCTGCGCTTGGACGACGAGCTGGGTTCCCGACAAGTCAATGTGGGTTGTCGAGCATAGTGCATGTGGGCACTTGAATTCAGGCATCTGCGGCGTGGTCTGCCGAGGAGGCTCTTGCATCTGAGTTTGTCTGTATCATCAAAGTACAAACAACCTGTTTGGGGGTTGCTGGCCACCAACTGCAAGATGACCCCCGCCGGTAGAACTTGTATACGATTCGCAGCGACCAAAGCTCCTCAAGAAAGTGTGAGAATGCGCAAGCATGACTTAGCAGGGCGGTTGTGGGAAGGCCGATACGTATAAGTTCTGTGAAGCATGTGGGATCTCAATTTTTTTTCGTATCGCTCTGCAGCCATCAAATTGCAAACCCATGAGCTACACAGCCTTAATGCGAAGAGAGAAACGCTTGATGAATTGGAGGGCCAAAAGTGGGCTTGCCCCCTCAGTTGGATCAAAGTGAGTCAAAACACGTAGATGCAGCTCAAACGATGGCAAGAACTCTATCGGGTTACTCTTTTCCCTCTCAGGGGCATGTACTTGCATTGCATATGCACTCCTTCAGGTTGAAGTTTGTAGATGTAAATTTCTCATGCAGATGCGGGCCAAGACCTCTGAAAACTGCACCGTTTCTTGCGCCACCTCTGCCATGAAGGGCTTTTGCAACCACAGACTCAAAACATAACAAAGTTGCAAGGAAGTGCTGGAAGAAGGGTCGTCATTCTACGAAGTATTAGGGAGCGCTTAGTCAGCGGCTGGTGCGTCCTTGTGAGTTTGACTATCCAGCAGGGAATCAATCAGTCTATTCACTAAGCTGCATCATATCGAGCCAGGGCACGCATGGTGCTCACAGCCGCTCGCAGTCTCCGGTACCGCCCTCATGGAAATTCTGTGCACGGCGGCCTTGTTTCATTCGGCAGTACTTACCTCCCAACCTTCCTAATAACAAATAGCGCCCCCCCCTCACCCCATGATATAGTGATACTATATTGGGAGCACATGTGGTTGGGGGGGTTAGCCCTATGTAGTTGTAGTTCACTGTATTTTCATTTTTGGACTTCGATTCTTCAATGTTGCGGTACTAAATCTCCGGTATTATATCTCTTTCATATATCCCCTAGAATCCATATGTACCCCTATACCCTACATCCCTTAAAACTGTCAAGGTGCAGGCAACTCGAACAGGAGGTGTCCGGCCCCGTCGGCAGCTTGGCCTCTGCTCTTGTGTCCGGTTGATGAAGCAGACTTTCTGTAAAAATACAAGGGAGTTTCTAGAATTTTAACAGGTCCCATCATCCCCTCAAAATCCCTGTCTTTCCCTGGGGTCGCCTTGTTGAGAAACTTCCATGCAGAAAAGGTGCCATCTCCTCTGTGGCCTTTGGCAGCCCTCCGATAGTGCTAGCCTCAAGTCTACTCCAGCCGTTGCTTCAAGGCCACAATGTGTTCCGGGTGCCTGAACGTGCAGATGCGCAGTGCTTGTCTGCATAATGACATACTCCTTGCTCATTGTGAATGAAGGCCCCTGCTGGTGGCTTCGGAATTTGCTTCGGGTGAGACCTTCTGAAACAAGCGGATCCTGCCCCTGCAAAGAGCAGAGTTGTGATGCGCCCTAACAAACAGAACAGAAACTCTGGTAGTAACATGAAGAGGAGGAGCATTCGGCGAACAACAGGCAAGTTTTTATTCAAGCATGCCAGCAACGCAGATTCTTTGGCTTCAGGCTTTGTAGTCGTGGTCTTGAAATCCAGTGTCTCAACTGTGAGCTGTTAGGTCTGACGCCATATTCTTCAGGCCAGATGGCGAAGTAGTAGGTGTCACACCTGCAATTGAAAGCTCCATCAAACGCAAGCCAATCATTCAACGCTTTCAGCACGGATACATTTCGAGTATTCTGTTGAGATTCATGTGTTGGCAATAATTTGAGTGCCAGGTATAAAGCAACAAGCACAACAGGAGAAGCAAACACAGGGCCAGGGCAGGGTCCGGGATGAAGCAGGTCGAACGCACGCCCCTGTTTTTCAGCCCCCACCCCTGATTTTTCTAAGCTCGCCACCGGCCGTGCTTCAGTGCTATTTGTGGTCCCCTTGTCCTTCCAACCTTTGAACCTGTTTCCGTCCCTTCCTGGTGCGACCCTCTTTGTCAGCCCCTATCCTGTTCTCCCCTAGACCTTTCCAAATCCTCCCAACCGGCTTTTTCAACCCACTTCCGACCGTTTTCCTGCCTCCAGGTGCGGTCCCACGGATCAGGTTGACCTCAGCGCAGCGTTTTTTTTGGAATGGGCACGGAAGCTAATGTCGCATTCGCATCCAAGCACACCTTTTCCGGCATGTTTTCCTTTTCCCGATTCTTTTTTCAGGGGTATGCAAGCCATCCAGGCGTCCGTTTCGATTCCGTTTGGCGGGGCGTCACAACAGCAGGGATTTGGGCCAGAAACACACTATGGCGTCAGAAAAGCCGGTGCAATGGGTAAAGAAAGCAGGTGAGGAGGTTAAAGAGGGGGGGGGTTGCATGGGGGGCAAAACAGAGGGTCAAAGCGTTCCCTGATCGTATGAGGTCTCTTTTCTGGTTCTCTAGTATATGTAATCCTGTCCCGAATAGCCTGGAACTGCTTAAGCTCGGCTGGAGATATGGAGTTCTTTCTTGTCTGATGCTAAGTTTGATGGCGCTAGCTACATATCTGCTTTCACCCGCCTCAGATGGCTTAGAAGCTGACGGCCTGATGGATTCCGTGTTGTTCAGAAAGATTGGGGTACTGCGAGGTTTATGATGTGCACAATTGAAACACATTCCTTGTCCTGCAAGCCAAAGGCGCAAGTGATAACATGGGCAGGTGCTTTAAGAGCCAAACAGCCAGTCAAAGGACCACACTGATGATGTTTGCCTGTTTGTCGTGGCATCTCTGGGAACCTTTTTGCTGGGCAGATTTGCTGGACTTTTGAGGTCTCGGCTCGTTCGGCGGCTGCTACGTCGCTTGGGAAGGCAAGTGCAAGTGCTACAGGAAGCGTATCCGCCTGAGAAGCGCCCAGATGCTGAAGTGCTAGCTTCAAGTTTTGTGTCGCACTTCCCAGGCTCGCACTCGGGCAGACACGTGCGGCTTCTTCGCTCGGTCCTGGGTCAAAGAACTGGGGGTAGAATGTTGGGTCCTTCTGTGCCAAGGCTGGAAGCGCTTCCACGGAAGGCGTGGAGCTTTGAGACATATACGTTCAGTTCACTGTTTGTGCATCGTTTCTTGAAGTGGACTGCCCTTTGCCCAGGACTCGCACGCGTGCATTCAGACAAAGCTCTGACTCGCAGCCCCAGGACAGTGCCAAGGCTCTAGAAGCGAAGGATAGACTGCAAAGACTGCATGCTTGACACAAACGCTTGCGGATTGTCTGCTGCAAGAACATGAAGTGCCAGAGGCACGATAGCCGATCACCTTCGCCGGGAACCGGTGGCATGCCGAAGAATTCGTTGTTGTGAGCGTTGCAGTCATCATCAAGTCATCATCAAGACTGCTTCAGCAGGCAGGGTGTCTCCATCAGTGCCGCAGCGTCCCCGGCCAGCAGCTGAGTCATCAAAGACAAGGCTTTGCAAGTTACATGGGCTGTGATCGCTGTGAGCCCAGGCCCCCAGCGCAGATGGAAACTTAGTGTTTGCAGAGAGTAGAGAAGCACTTCAGGTGATTAGCCTTGATTCTCAGGACCTTCAGAGTGCGACGCGACGCAAGGCCCATCTCACCATCCGCTTCGGAGGCACCAAATCCGTGTCAACCTGTGCTCTGATCAGGGATGGCTTAGGGCTGTATGACGACAAACGACAGACGACGACCGACGACAGGGCCTGGAGTCCGCCGCTGGAGAGCAAAGAATCTGCTCGATAGGACAGGGTTGCCCTTTCCGACGCGCCGCATCCGCCCCCGCCCCTTCGAGGGTCCTCAAGATCTGTGATCATACGAACTTTCACTCCAAACACAGTATCACCCCTCCTTCACAAAAACGCGGACCCCAGAGACTCTGCGCACAGGCAGGCATCATCATACAAATGTGCATGCCAATAGATGCTAATGACTTTCCAACACCTCTGTGACAAGAACATGAACCCCAGGCATCCTGTCACGCAAGCCAGCACCCCAGCAACACCGTCGCATGAACTCCTAAACATCCGAGCGCACATATCATACAAGCCTGCAACCCAGCCACTCTGTCATACCAACACGCCCTCCATCACATGAGCGTCAAGCCTGCACCACAAACACCCTAGTCGCAGAAGCATGAACTCCAAACATCTGATGGCACCAATGCGCGTGCTGGTCCCCCACCATCATCGAAACCTTTGGTCTCAACTGCAATTCTGCACAGGCTCCTTTGCTTCGGACACTGATGTGACTCAGAGTGGAAATCATGGTGGGGACATGAAGTTGGACCATCAAAGCTCTCGTTCCAGAATGGATCTTGATCGATCTCCCGGATCGATATCCAATGCAGATTTTCTCAGCAGAGCACTGCTGCTCAGTAGAATCTGCCCCGCAGGGGTCAGGGCAGTTAGTCGGATTTGCCTTCCATTCAAGGGAAGGATAGGTCAGATGTCAGGTGCAATGTCCGGGTCAAACCGGGCTCAGCGCCCTTGCTGTGTTGTTGCCGTTGTTCAGCAAGCTGAGGTACAACAGCATCAATGTTCAATTTCATGTTTGTCATGATTACTATTTCCAAGCTGCGGCTGCCGCCGATGGTCGGGAACAGGAGGTGCTAAAAGCAGAGGGCAGGGTTGCGCTGGTCAGCAGAAGGAGATGCCTCGATGTCCGTTTCGTTCGTGCCTAGTGTGATGGTAAGAACCGGAAAGCAGCCGAGGGTGTCAGTAATCATTTTGCTCTCAGATGCGGAAATCAAGTTCTCGGCGCATCAGTCTGCAAGTTGTCCAGGGAGCCAGCGGCATGCAAGCATAGAAAATTGGGTCCCAGTCTGGACAGCAGTCTTTCTTGGCGTTTGTCCAGCAACTCCCTCTGGACCAAGCACCTTGTCTCGACTTCATTTAAAAAAAGGTCACATGAGCCTTGGTGGCTTGGATTCTACTTCTGACTTTCTTCAAGCGACCCGGAGCAAAAGCCGCAGACAACTGAGCATGCTCCTGCACAGCATTTTTCATACGAAAGTGCAAGCGTGGGCTTTCTTTGACGGGATCTCGGCCGTAACATCGCAGGGGGTGATCTCCACAGCGCAGCGGATGGCCGACAGCTCGGCTGCATGTGTGAAAAGTCCTGTGCTTGTCTGCATTCGCGGCCTGAAGGTCAGCGCCCCCACTGAGCTTGCTTCCAGATCTGTGGCAGTGCGAACTTCCACCAAGGTACGTGCCCCGAACTGTCTTGAGCGGTTGCGAGCTTTTGCACAGCAAATGTTGGTATGCAGCTTGACATGTGTTGCCTACAACTCCTCGGACGGCTTGGTGGTCAGAACTTCATCACTGTGCAGCCGGCCCTTCCTGAATGCGTTTCCGTCATATCATCTTGTTCCTGCCCCTTTCGTCTCTCTTCACCATCCTGCAGAGCCTCCCACTCCCTTCATCTCTGTGCGATTGTCCACCAAATTCCAGCACCATGCCAGTCTTGTGCTTCTGAGACATCTGTAACTTCTGCGCGCGTGAGCAGCACACGCCATTCGGCCAACGCCCCTCCAGGACTGCACTTGATTTTATCATGAAGCTTTGTGGCAGGGACTGCAAGAAATTTGAGAGTCTTTCGCTTCTTGCTTGTGCAGAACTTCTGTTGTCCACATTGCTCTGAGAACAGGACGAAGTCAGCAAGCCTTCCATGCTGGTGCAAAGCCTGCCGCGGGGCTCCTGGTGGCTTTGTTTGAGCGTCGCTGAAGTTGAAATGGGCTCAGGCAGCGCGGCAAGGATCTCCGGACAAAGGCACCTTCGTCTAAGATACTCGGCCACATCATTGTCAGAGGGTTTCACCTGCTACAGGCGGAGGTGTTTCGCGAGAAGCAGGCTGTTTTGCTTGCGATGCTTCACCCACGTTCTCTGCAATGCACTTCGCTTTGTGGTAGAGCACGTTCAATGATTCAACATGCGAGCCCATGCTCATGTTACGGAAGCTTTACGGCAGGTGCGGTGGAGGCAACTCCTCGAACTGTTGGCGCGGCTCCCTGGACATGAGCACATCGCAGCGGAGCAGCTTCATTCCGTGATGAGATCGTGCTCTTGAAAGTGTTTGATGGAACAGCTCTGTTTAGTTTACCAAACAGCTACGGGCCTGGTTCGCCGTGCACGATTTGATGTCAGGTCAGAAGCTTCAAGTCAGCGCCACGCGGAGGGATGACAGCTCCTCGCCAGGCAGTTGTAGTTGAGGAGGGCAGGCACGCTCAAAGCTTCCGCCTCTGAAACACTAAAAAACTGACGCGTTCAGTTCAAGCTGCACGGGGCCTTCGGCCTTGTTCTCGCTTCCAGTTGCGTTGGGCATGCTTTGCTTCAGTTGTGTTTGCAAAGTGAGGGCAGATTGAGGGCTTCTGCGTAGAGAGGGCTGTAAAGAAAGGGACATGGAGGAATGCAGCACAGCTGATCTCTGCTTTCGAACATGACTTTACGAAGTGCATCTTGGCAGGGCATTGCGACACATTGGACATTCTCCAAAGCGGATTGTACACGCACCTACTCTAACAATCTAGCGCTTGTTCAGTCTCTTGAGGCGTGAACATATAAGGGAATCTTGCTAGTCATCCCAGGTGCTCTGGATGACTCCGATGGAGACGAGTCCTGTGGCCCCCACAGGAGGCAGCTGAGTGAGAAGCAGCCATTGTCTCAGCTGAACTGCTATGCCACAGAGACCACCTCGTTAGCAGCAGCCCCCGAAATTTATTCTCGGCTTGGCTGGATGCGGAACGCAACAAGTGCCTGTTGAAAAAGTGTCGTGTCAGTCTTGAGCATTGTTTGCCAGCGTGACATTATCTGATTGTCATGTAGTGCACGTGTGCACGTCCGGACAGGACAAGCAAGGTTGAGCATTGCTAACGCTGCACACTACCTGTCGTGAATAAGTTTGAGTCGTGGATAGTCTTCCCAGAGCGCGAAGGAAATCTAATCTCATTTAGCCCGATTTGCGCAGACTTCCCAGCTGGGATGAAGGCCTGAGGCCGCCGTTGTGAGGCGGTGGACGAGGGCTGACGACTGCCCGCGACCACACAGTATGCGATGACGCTGGCAATGATGGCAACAGTTGGGAGCTGTGGCAACTGGGCTTTGAACGGTCGCGCAGCGGAAGTTCTCAGCCATTGGCCTTTGTTTAGTGAGTTTGAGAAGATCTCCGTGTACAAAACCTTTACGCGAACGGGGATACACGAGAGATTTTGGACCGTGCCATGCGAAAGGCATGTCCAACCGCATCACTCATCTTCCTTCTACTCGGTTTGGTGCCTAAACAAGTGCGAGAGCTAGATGAAGGAGTGAGAGTCCAAAGTAGTGGCTCTCACCACAGCGCCCCAGCGCTTGCTGTGCCTCAGGGTAGGGTGAACGCGTCCTCCGCCAGTGAGGGTGTGCAATCCCAGCTGCACGCAGCAGCAAATGCGCACCATCGCCAAGCGTAACATGATGATGAGTGGAAGAAGAGCCAAAAGTCATTACCAGTTAGACAGTGGTCTTGGGGCTTGGGTTCCTGGGTTATCAGATGGTCTGGTGCATGGCTGGCGGAACCTAGCGACCACAACAATTGACAATGAAAGTTCAAGTTGTCATTTGAGGTACGAGGCCCTGGTTCGATGTGCTCAGCAAGTTGTCGCTCTCAGCGGGGTGGTGAGCCTAGAATCAAAGACTTTAAGTTTGTACCCTTAATGTTTGTAACCCTAGGTGTTGGGTACCAAATACCCTTATTCAGGACCATATTTCATGGTTCCCTAAACCCTAAACGCTATTCCATGGTTTAGGGAAGCTTGGTCTGAAGCCAAAGGGCTTGCTTTCAAGCTGCTTTGTGAGGTTGGTAGTGGCAGCTTGCTCCCGGCTCCAGCACGATGAAGCCGTGAGCTCGTTCATATAATCCCTATATGTAACCACTATAGAATATAGTAATCTCCATTTAATTTTCTATTATCCCAATATAACCCCAATATACTCCCTACAATCCCTATATAGCCGTAAAAGTCCCTGTAATTTCCATTTGATTCTCCATGATCCCAATGAGCACCATACCAGAAGGCTTCATGCTTTGACGATCGCTGCAGGTCAGCTCCTCCGCCGACTCTAACAATTCAAATGCAGAAGGGAACAAATTCAGGCCTTACCAGATGATGTTGTGTGTAAGCATGAATCTTCTCTTTGCTTCTCTTTGGTCAGCTGAGGTGCTGCAGAGCAAAGGAGAGACTATTTAGACAACATCACTGAGGCGGTCCTTGAAGCTTGTACAGTAATTGGTCCCAGCAAGAGCTGCGGCTTGTGCATGCTGAGAATCCTCCTTTGACGTTTCACTGAATGCCGCATGGAGACTCAGTGACAAGCTACTCAGTGCAGGATACAGGCTCTTGGGTCAGGCTCACTCAGCTTTGCACACATGTTGCAGTAGACAGCATGAGCTGCAGTGCCAGAGACTGTTTCTTGGTCATTGCATGGCTCCAGAGATGTAGAGATTCACTTTGCCCGTTTGGATCGCAGGCCACCGAAAACCTTGTTTCACGCCTGGCAGCATGCGAGATTTCTTGTTGGCCGGTTGGTGAGGGTGCAATGTGACAGCAGGAATGGCGCATGGCGTCGATTTCTCGCGGGACTTGACTCATATCCCAATGGTGCGCTCTTTACAGCACGCAAACATGGCTGCTCTGCAGATCAGACATGACAGCAACCTGCACTAATGCAGGCCATCATAGACCCCACGTGCTGCAAGGAGACGCTTCTAAGAATGCTGATGTGCGTTCCCCCTCCTCCCCTTCTCCATTGGTCCATGAAAGTCCATTGGACAAGCGCTTCAGGTCAAGCAGCGCCATGCCTTAAGCTCAGCAAGCAAGCTTTCCATGTCTGTTGTCTCTTTCATTCCGGCCGCAGTCCCAATTTAGTGAGGTGTGGCTGCCAGTTGTCTTTATTCTTGGCGTGGATCTCAGCCTACTACCATTCTACCAGCACCACCCCCACTACGACTGCTGCAGCTGTTTTATTACTAGTTGCACTTTACTTTTCCCATTCCTACTCGTACTCGTGCTCCACCTCCTACTCCTGCTCCTCTTACTCCTCCTTCTGCTACTCCTCCTCGTCCATGGTGCTGCTCTCAGCCAGGGGTAATCAGTCTACGGCACAGCTGCCAGCGTGTAATTGATAGTTTTCTATGTTTGGTAAAGTGTTCCCTTTGAAATTCTGCGTGCAAAACAACACCAGAAACAACAAACACACACAAGGTGGAGACGGGATGCAGCGGCCCTGTTTTCACAGCACGTTTTGTTCATGGTCCCCTTCCACCTCCTCCGATTCATCCCCCTGAACATCCCACATGTCCCTTTCTCAAATGTCCAACAAACAATTCCGAAGTGAACCAAATCTGTCTTTTGCCATCCTTGCAGAATCCTTGGAAAGAATCCTCAGCGTAGCTTTTGAGAACCCTTTGGGTCCTTGTCTTTTTGTCTTTAATGCCACAGCCTGCCAATGCAGCCTAACCTCCTACTAGTATTACTATAGTACTAGTACTAGTACCCGTACTAGTACTAGTGCTAGTACTTGTACTGTACTACTATTACTATTACTACTACTATTACTACTACTACTACTACTACTGCTACTACTCCTGCTGCTGCTGCTGCTGCTGTTGTGGTGCTGCTGCTGCTGCTGCTGCTGCTGCTGTTGCTTGTACTAATACTACTACTACTACTACTACTCCTCCTCCTGCTGCTGCTGCTGCTGCTGCTACTGCTACTGCCACTGCTACTGCTACTGCTACTGCTACTGCTACTAGTAGT